ACATATAAGCATATATAATTATCTGCATAATATAAACTCACATTAAACTGATTTATCGCACGTGTAATTCATCTATCTGTTTAGCATGTAATTCGAGTCGGATTAACGCCATTGCTAATGTATAGTAAAATGTCGTAAAGTCGTCATTTAATGCATCCGATTGTAGGGGTATATATATACTTTGGCTATAGGACTGTATATTAATATATATGTTACCTACCGATATATATATATAAGAAGTGGAGTCCGGCTTTACTTCTTCATTAAGGACTCTTCGAGAATTATGTACGTGGAAGGTGTATTGGCTAGTACCTAGAAGCACCGACAGATGGCTCTGGCTACTCGTAGGGTACTGAAAGTTTCCATAGGGCACAGCTTAGGGCGTGTATCCATAAAGGACTTCTACCGCCCAGACAGTAAGGAAAGGCGGAGCCTTCGAAAAAGCTGCATCATCCAAAGAACCAAGGGAACACGAGCGAGTCACATCGTGGCGTTTAATCACTTAATTTATGCCCACCTAACGCCGAGAATAACTTCGATACGGCGTACTCATTCTCGACGTCCGGCAAGACTGAGAAAGACTGTTGAATCATTGTTCATGGATTTGAAATCTTACAGTTAATTTGACTTAACCAAAATTCATATACATATACCCAGTTTACGACAGTGACCATAATATGGACTAATTTTGAAATTAATATAAATAATCTTTTTTTTCACGCAAATTTACAAATTTTTAACGCCTACCATAACCACAGTGATGGAGTCTTCGTTGACAAGGACACCAAGAGCAAGGAGGAGTTTTATGTGAAAACAATGCAGGACAGGCGATAAACGCTGATAAAGTACCAGGTGTCAGTCACCTGAGCATTAATGGACCGATTGACTGGTATTTCGGAAAGGGGGGTAGTTACTGCTACCCTTACAAAGCGTCTTGAATGCCCTGTGTAAAGTGGGGTAACACTTTATGGCCTCTAAATTAGGTAGTCAAATAATTGTACCGGCGAAGCCTACGAGCTGGCTTTAACGACGCAATGGAGAAGCAGTTAGAGCTGTATTTCGCCCCGAACAGGAACAAACGCTCACGGGTGAGTTTATAGCCATGCCAGTTGGCAGCCATTACGATTCTACTAATTACCCTAATTCATTCATGAGCCTCGATCAAACCCACTGGCTGAAGTTACATTCAATTGCCGAATTCTCCCGCCTACGACAGTGCAAGCGACTACCAGAGTCATGACAACAACCGTAATCAGTACTTGAGACAATATTGAACGACAGATTTATAAAAACAATAATTTTTATCATAACCGCCACAATAATATATCTCAAAGCCAATTATTATTTACCTAAGATTAAAATTTATTAACAATTCTCCTAGACTCCGTAGGTAACACTTGAACACCGCGGTAAACGTACTTAACCTAACGTGCTACCCCATAAGTGAACCGGCAAGCTTACGCCATAAGTATACCCTAGTGAAAAAATTCAGAGCCACGATATTAACCCTTATTAATATAAATTACACAGCCATATATTAGCCGTAATGCGACACACCCTTTACACAGGGGGGTTGCGGCCCACCTTTATAGAAACTGGAGTGAGTCCCAGCCTTCCCTGTTAGCCCAGTCACAACCGACCATATTTAACGTCGTTTGCCACATTATTATTACCAGCTTCCTCCCTGATTTATCGTTTTAACGTGCAGAAAAAGTAAGGTCTGGATTTCTTACATAACCTATACGCCAAGTAGAAAAACTTCCAGCCGCCAAAGTACAACACGGTATGTATACCTATATATGTATATATCAACCCGTACCTCCCCCCAGCTCTCCCACTCCAAATATATAAACATATATACATAAAATAATATTGTACACCATTCTACAAATGAATAGCCGGTACCTAACCTGGCTGTCAAAAACCAACAGTGGCATCATATCCCATCTCCATATAGCAGTCAGTAAAACCAGACTGTCAACCATCCTGGGAGCCACGACGGAGCCACCAGTGGCAGCTGTATGCATTTACCATTGTCAGAGTCACGTATTAGCTTGCGTAGTTTTCGCTGCCGGAGTCACCAAGTGCCCAAGGGAAAGGTATACATGTATATATATATAGGGTGAGCGGAATTCAGAGCCACCCCATAGGCCCCACAGTCCTTTCACCGTCACGACGCTCTGTTTGCTTTGTATTGACTCCCGTGGACGACGTCAACGAGCAAATAACGGGGATATGGAGCATGTTAAATAGCCCTAATCCGCCAGGGCCGATTGACCGTCCTTAGAAAAGCTAAAGTCTTCTGCTTAGTCGTTTGGTACATGGTGTGTGTATATATATAGTTCACGGCTCCAAATATGATTCCCCCTCTATACCGTACTTTCTCCTTGCCCCTTAATCAGATCCACCATCTTGGATCGTGTTGTATTCTCTTCTTCTCGTTTCTCCTCTATCTCTCCGTCAAGAATCGCGCCACGAAGAGGAACTCTCTCGCGGCGTCCAATCCAACTCGCGCGTAACTTTCGGTGACATAAGGAGCTTATTATATTAGTTTGCCTAGTGTAATGAATTGATAGCTATATGTTTACCGACATGCAATAACTGGCTCCGCGACAGATGGCAGAGCGATACCGCGCGCCGATATTACGACTCAATCACTCCCCATCGATCACAACATATATTACATTATTACGAGAGAGAGAGAGAGAGAGAAACGCTGAGAAAATGAGAGATCGATATTACTGAATCTCGCGAGACATATATATACGTAATTTTGTATACAGGCATTATAGGTCTATACGTATATAAAGTCGACGGTGCAACGTTATATATGTATATACTAATTATTAAAAAAATGTTGTTTGAGGAACCCTGAATGCATCTTCGTTACAAAAAATGAATTTGACAATAATCCAGTGATCGACGATTAATTCGAATTATCTAATAAAAATAATTTTATTATATAACTAAATATGTCATACGTATGGTGGACTGGTAGCAAGGGTGGACGAGAGGGTGGTTGGGGGGGGGTGTGAAAAGTTGGCGGGGATCCTCGATAAAACGTCAAATAGCGTGAAACACAAAGGGAAATTTTGTAGAGGGATAAAAGTGCAGAGGCACAACCAACCCCCTTATAATCTTATATTCCACCCCTTTATCCGGGGATTCGAGGGAAACTCGTCGCTCCATTGGTCGATGTTCCCCTTTTCCTTCGCCAGACAGGAGAAACCGGCGGCAGCTACCCCTGCTTTGAGATCCACCACCCTTAAACAGGAGCCGGATGAGGGCTGGGGATGAGGAGAGATCCCACCTTAAGACAAATCGAGGCAATCACACGAGATTCTGAATAACAAAAGTATCCTGCGAGGAGAATAAGGGGCTCGAAGGATCTGACTGAGGGTTGGTGCCTTCGGGGGGGTTGGTAGCATCGATGGTGTTGGTACCTTCGTTCACCGGTAGGTGCGCCTTTTCCGTGTTGGATGGATAAGATGGCTTGTTTACAGGAGGGAGCTGATACCGTTGGCCAGGATGCGCACCAGCTGCGCCAGAGTCGACGAGAACGAAGGAAGCCATTGAGAACCGCAGGATGTCCATTTCTCTTGGATTTCCGTAAAGAGGCGTCGCGACGTTATGCGTGCTCCTAAATGATCCAACGGAAGATCTAGAAGACTGCGGGAGGATCATTTATTTGGAGAAGAGGTTACTGTCGTTAGTCCCTTTCACTCTGAGGATCCTGCCGATTTCTTTATCATCCTTGGAAAGGCTGTAGAGACACCTCGTAATGGCGGCCGATTATTTAGCTTGTATTTATATATATAGATTAAGCATCGCAGGATGCTTGGATATAGAGACGCGAGCTATGATACAGAACAGGGAAATCCGAAGAGGCTAATTTGTTACATTTAATCACTGAGATTACAATTTGTTAGGGATAATTTTGAAAAATTGAAAGATACAATTTTTTTATTTAATTCTATAGGGATTTCCGTAAGACAAGTGTTATGGTACTGTGTATATGGTACAGGACTTGAATTGTTGGTACTGAGGGTATTTCTTATAGGCAGTGTTTGAAATATCTAAGATCGTAAAGTTCTTGCTCTAGTATGAAGAGAGAAAAAAAGGACCTTAGTCCTGTGGAGTTGGCTGAATAGCTTTGTTACACATTTTGGGATTCGTGTCTACTGCTAAATGTCGGCGGACGTGACGTTTCGAGCTGAACGCCCATAACGCGACTAATGGGATCTTTTGGTAGTGGGAGGATGCTAGTTACTACCGGTTCTACGTAGCATAACTGGGACAGGTGCGCCACCTCCTTAAAAGCAACCACCCCTAAAAAGGGTCTTTGTCGGTGAAATACCACCCGGTGCGTACCGTACGCTAGCCGAGTTCATTCATAAATTCGACTTCGGGATTTCATTGAGAAAATCCTTGGGATTTTAGTCTCTGAAGGACTTATACCAAAATTCCCTAGATTCTTTTTTTTTTCAAAGAGTCAAGTCTACCATTTATACTTATACTATTTATCACTATCTTATACTGTATAACGTAACATTAGCATTATATTATGCGCAATATCGGTATAAAGAGAAATGTTTAAATAAATAAAATTTATCGATAGCAATCGTGATCAAAGATGAGAGTCAAATATTTCATGTAATATTTCTTGTTTACGTGGAACGTGAAAAAGTAACAACAAAAAAAACTTAAAAAGTGTAGAGAAGCACAAGAAAATGGCGCCAATAATAAAAAGTCACGCGACGCCCGTGACACAACAAGACAACGAATGGTACGCGCACCCATTGGAATATTAAAATAATCCCTGATTACTTTAATAAATCTTCCCACTCCTCCAACTTGATGGCAACCCTCCATTCCTACCTAGGATCGTATCCTGCCGTTCAACCCCGGGCTCGACGAGTTCGCGATGGCAGGAATAGCAGTAGCAGCAGCAGCAGGAGTAGCAGTCACATCTGTGACTGTACCCCTAATGAGCACGCTATTTTTCACGAGTATTTTTATCCCGTTTATTGGCCGCTCGCTTCACAAACTGTCGGCTGGATATTAATCATCCGGCTCTTACGACTCCGGTTTTATTTCTTCCAAGGATGAAGGTGTGGGGGTGCGCGATGAGGAACTGCCGAGGGAACCAACGAGAGTCCTAGTGCCAAGAAGAGGGGTCGAAAGGTGGTGCGGAGTTGAGTTTCTTCATTATTGTTATTAGACCAGGCCCAATGGAACAAACTGCGATAGTAGACAGAGACGCAGACACCCCGAGGAAGTTCAGGATCGACCCTGATGATAGAAAAATATTAAAAAAATGAGTCCAACCTCATCTATAAGAACAAGTGACTGTATAAGACATACTTGAAAATCATTGATGACTGATCCACGAATAATTTCAAATTAAAAACTAAAGTCAGTTTAAACGATGACGTGTCCTTCCTGAATCATAGTAGGTCCTGGATGGATTTATGATTTGAAAGATTTTCGTGGACCAGGATTCCTTAACGTCTCCTGGTATTTCATTCTTGGATCCAAAAGGAAGGATGGGCATTTTCTAGGGATTCCCCTTGACTCCAGCTACGTGATGAATGGCATTCTTGACTCCTTTGACCAGGATCCTGACGACCTAGCGAGCGGTTAGTGTGTTTCCGGTGGTGGCTTGATGGCGGCCCTGATCGACAAAGGGATTAAAAGGAGGTTTAAGCCGAAACCTTCATTCCGGTCGGACATTAGCCTATTACTGGGGTGTCGTGAGGGGGATGAACGACGTGGGACTCCACCTATAGTCCTTTTGATATAGTATCTCTCTCCAGACTCCATATCCTTCCATCCAACGTGATTCCTTGGCCGCAATGGGCCAGATTAACGCGAGCCCAAAAGGACTCCTTAAAGGAATATCTTTTTCCATTGTCCTCGTTCTGACTGTCGCTTCTGGATTAAAATGTTTTTTCTTATACTCGCATCTATATTCACTCGTTGGATCCATTGAGGAGACGTCATCCTGTTGTTTTCTGTAATATTTTTTTCATAGTCTCATCAATGACAACCTGACCTAACTTATACATATATATTATAAATAATCTGAATAATTACTGCGTTAGTCAATATAATAATAATGGCGTAACCAAAACTTGAAACGGGATAAAATAATACATGATATATACGTTACTGAATGATTCCACTCATTTCCCCGAGGGCAGCTTCCTCTTCATTGGATACTCGCCCAAATGTCACCCTTATTATTCCAAGTAAGAATAACACGGCGACATCGATACAGGATGCGGGAGCACCTGTAGATCCTGAGCTGTTTAGGATGCTGCAACAGAAGGAGAAATAGGTGTAGGAAGACGAAGCAGAGAAAGATGAGAGATGAGAAAAGATAGAAAAAAAAAAGTAAACGAGGATTCGTCAAGATTCTCGATATTTTCAAGTGTTTGCTGAGATAACAGCCTGTGTAGTCTCGTTTGTCGTCTGGTGCAACGGGCGGTGTGACGTCATGTTTATAAAATAAATAAAGAAATCCCTCGGGGCCATCGATTGCCATCGTCGATGAGTCTGGGGAAGTAAAGAGAAAGTTATGAAAAAAAAGGTGAAAAATATATAATAATAATTGAAAAAAGAAAACAGGAAACTTTTCTTTGGAGACAAATTTTTTTTCAGTTAAACGGAAATGACACTTGCAAGGTATACTTATTGTGTGTTTAGTATAGCATGGTATAACCACTTCCTGTTCGTTGACGAGTCCTTTTGTAACGACCGGTATTTCGATCTTCCTGTAGCAATGTAGAGGGTGCGAACTGCACCCTGGAGTATCGTAATTTAATACCAACATCTCTTACGACGGATAGGTAAACTGTTTGAGAATTCTCGAGAAACAGGTTAGACGCTTATGTTATGGTGAATTTCTTTTTAGTATTAAAAATCATGGAAGGGGTACTCGTGTTCTGGGATTTTTAGCTGGTGCGTATTGTACCATTGAGATAGGAGGGGAGAATCAGTGCTTTTGAGAAATTATAAAGAAAAAAAATTCAAAGGTTAACTCCTTTTCTCGTAGAGAGCCATAAAACCACAATAATTCCACGTTCGAATGGGAATTCAAAAATTTTCAAAGGAACGACACCAGAAGTTCTCCTGCTGTCTCCGTAGGATACTTTTATACTTGGAAGGGTCTGCTGTAAACAATGAGTGTAGTATCGCGATAAAATTGACCGATCGTAAAAGGAAAAAAAAATACAGGTAACCCACCAGCATGCAGGTAGCCATATTGAATACGTAACACGTAGTCGTCCGTGTACAATATTGTCGAATCGTATGTATATATCTACACAATACAAATTTAGACACGGAAACGTAGAAGCGTCCTGCTCGCGTAAAATTACGTCATACGTCCGTTTTATCGGCATCGAACCAATAAAAGTCCCAATAATAATGTCGAATGTTTTCCGATGCACCATATTTGATTTAGTGTCGGCCATTTTGTGATCGCGTATCTGCCTCGTAAATCTCGCGACAGTGGCGCCACCGCATAAAAATATCAAACGTCGATGTGTCCCGATGCTACGTAAAATATTACATCGAGTTACGTGCGTTCTTCCTATCCTTTGTATATCCGTCTCTCCGGCCCTCTCTTTTACCATGTCTCTATCAGTTCCCGTCCCATGATCCTCCGAATCCCGACTGTGACCGAGAATAGTCGAGTAGAGCCGACCCACCTGATGCCAATCCCAATCCAGACACCCATAACCTCACGTTTTCTTTTCACTGTAGAGAAAATTCTCAGAGAACAGAAGACACGGAGAACCACGAGGTCAATCGATTCCCATCCGGATAGGGTGGAAGGGCCGAGAAAGCTTTGAGACATCTGAACGCAGGGTGGCACCAGTCCTGATTTATTTGTTGGTATCCAGCGCCACCGATATTCCACGAGTACAACGCCATATCCCACTCGGTATCATTCTCGCGAAGAATTCTTTAGATCCAAAAAGAAAATACATACCTGGACACTACTGCCGAGATTCATCCATTTCTTACCGATATATATATATATATATCGCACAGAATATAAATAACCCAACTGTCATTACGCGCTTTAGATAACGCCATAACAGTTTACAATGTATAGCAGAAGTTACGTAACCTATAAATACGGTGCAATATAATAATCGTGTTTACCACAGTCTTCTATAACCCAGTCTAATCTAATACGTATACGATAACTTTGTCCGGTATCCTTACAAGCAGTCATGTGATTAACGCGGCGTATGGTCTCGCCACGTGATGTCGAACGAGTCACGATCTTAGCCGAAGTCAACCGAACGACTCCGAAGACGTTTAGCCCAGCGTGAAGGAGCTTCGTACTCGTCACTGCAGGTAATCGTAGGTACCAATAAGTGTCAGGCACAGTGTAACAGTGCGGCTTGTAAGAGTAGGCCATGAAAACAGTCGCAATAACCAGTGCCAAAGTGGCACTTGATACTTAGCCAGATAAACTGGCACGATGGCACTTTCCGTTTAGAGTCGCCTACGATAGAAACAGAGGGAGTCGTCGGGCTTCCTCTTCCGAGCCAGGATGAGGCAGTATATCGCAGTTATTGTCCATTAGGAGCGCGAGGCGGCCATCCACGCCACAAACTTACTTTATGATATTGCTGCCTGCCTGACTGGCTGGCTGCCTCCACTAGATGCCTTCGCCGTTCCATTGTCCTCTTGCTTACTTACACGCTCCTGGTATATCTTCTTACTCTCTCTTATTTTTCTACCTTCCTTCGCTGCATCCACTACGCTTTTCGTACTCGCCGCCATTTTTCTCCTGGCGTCTCTTACCAACTATAGCAAATAATATCTCGGTTCTGGCGTCCGTTTAATTTGAGGAACGCCAGCAAAAAGAGTGGAATAGATCAAAGCGTATCATGGGGATAGCAAATGGCTGGATGGGAGGGAGAAAGAGAGAGATGCCGAGGGAGAGTTTGATGGAATTATCAGGAATTGCTTTTTCTGCGGTTTATTACTTGCCGCATGCGGCCATATTAAGTCTGACAATCCCAAACGCCTTGTACTCTTTTTTTTGGATCTTCGAATTGAATTTTTCAAATTGACTCCATACGAAAGGGTATCGACCATGGTTTACATAACGTATATCACTTTTCTCCTGTCTATCATTTCCGTCATCATTACCATCGCAATCATCATAATCCCTATCAGTGATTCTATGTCGCTTTGGTTATCTACTTCCACTATCTTCATTAGTCCCTTTATCATTGCTATTACTATTACCTACCAGTATGGACATTGCGCTGACTTTATTTCGTACAATGAAAAATTGACATAAAGACGCGAAATGGGTAATTTATAAAATTATTAGTATATATACCAACGTAATTACAAAAAATTTTTTTACACATTCCACGTTTCCAACAATACGATTAACACTTTAGGGGTGTATTGTTAATTGTCCAAGCATCGGTATAAAATTGGCGTAAGGATGTCAGGAGGCCTTACTGAAGATTCCTGAAATAGGGGCAGGGTGCAGTAAATGCAGTGACTGGCCAGGGGTGAATTATGACGCCTGGGCAACAGCGTTATGGGCACGAATTGAATGGGGCACGATGCGAACGGAACGGAACGGAATGGAATGGAATGGGTCTCGCGGCGCACGAGTAACGACCAATTAGATAACAAAACGTCAAACAGTAAAACCCGTCATGTTTATACTGAAGGGGATAAAACCCGGCATCTATTCCTGACTGCACTGTGTGCTACGGGCGCGCTATAAACTACACGTTATATACGGATATAATGTGCCTCGAGCTTTTACTCCATCCACGTCGCCACAGACCCTCTATACATTGGAAGACCCTTTACGTTTACAGGACACTTTTCTTGGCATCGAATTGTGGTAATAATTTTTTTCTCACGATATTCAATCGATGAACGTTTAATCACAGACTTGTACTCGCTACATTTCTATACGACGATTTCAATATTTTTATTAATATATTAATGCTTTTTATTTTGACTTTTTACAATTTTTTTTTAATACCTTCCCCTTTATTTAGATTAATCGATCGTAACGACAACGTGTATTGGCTGCCCGCTTGTTATATATGGGTTTCTATAGTTAACGCTAATGGGATATAGGGAATCTTGGAGCGGGCTTTACGAAATAGTGAAAGAAATTCCATTGTCATGGATTACGATACTGCCATAAAACAAGGCGCGTAAATTATTTTGACAGGGCGCAGTGATACATTATAGAACTCGTTGGATTTAATAAGATTCTCTCCGTGAATAACACTCAGTTCACCTTTTATCTTTTTTTCCTTCTCCTTTCTTGGTGTCCTCGTTCCCGTGGCAGAGATAAAAAAGAAAGAAAACAAATTTAGAACATATATACGCGCGAGCCCGAAGCACTGAAGTAAAATGCCGTAAAATAGGAAAACCATGTCAAATACTGTCACCCGTGTCGAACCCTCAATACGTACGTGAAATCGGTAAGGGTGGTGGCCCGGGTACAGCGGGGGGTGGGAATCAGGATGGTTAAATTGGCATGACAGATAGAGGGTGCGAGAGCAGTTGTCGCTTAGTAACATTACGCCACGATGAAACTGATATCCACCCTGTTGTCTCCCTAGAACTAGTTCTGGCCTAGCACGGCTACCCCTAGCTGTTACAGAGAGACACCCCTATCGGGCCCAGGGCGTGCAGATGATGCGTCGTGAAGGCAGCGTTACATTTGCTCAGAGGGCGAGAGACCAGTGCCGAAATAGAGAAACATTCCCGGAACAAGAGCCACCCTTAAGTCTAGTTAACCTTACGCAGAGCATCCCCCGTACCTTACTACCCTTACGCGTCACCGCCGACTCAATCATACTTACGTCAAATCCGAACACCACCAAACACCCAGTCCAACGCTTCCTTCGTCAGTTTCTACTATTATTTCCAATCGAAGAAAGAAAAAAAAAACATCCCTTGCACAAATACAGAAATTCAAGCCTTATTATATTTTGGAGACAACAATTATTTTCTGTTTCCTTACTGCGTATTGTGTCAAAGAACTACTTTCTACCCCTAAATATTTTTTCACTTAATTACTCAAAATTCTCAAAAATCGTACAACCTGCATCCCTCTCTCTCTCTCTCTCACCCTGAACAGTATATACACAATGTTTCTCCCCCTTGTCTATAGATCATCTCGCGATCCCCCTGCTGACTTGTTATTAAATTAATCCTTCGTTTAGCCAAATTGATGCATTGATATCACAGAGCACTCATAACTCACAACACCCTCGTGGCGCAACCCTCACACGAACCCATAGTGACTCTCCTGTAGGGGTTGTCACGTTGCTACTGTATTCCTCACACTATATACGTAAATCCAGCCACATATATAACCCACCAACAACACTAACTGAATGCTCACTTCTCAGTTCCGCATCGTCTACGTCCGACTGCTGTTTATTAATGTAATTGTTTAACATTTTGCTAAATAACCGGCGTTGATCTATAGCCACGGCGCCTTTTAATCGCCGCATCACGATGACGCCATTAAGATAAATGCCCGGCTCCCTCATTCGCCTCGTTATTATTCGTACTTCATCGCGCATGCGCACTGCCGACCACTCTGCGTGATTTGTACTTTCATTTGCTGGATTAAAACCGGCGACTTTTACAACGATTAACGAACCTCCATGCCGATACAACCTGGTGATGCACGTTTATACGTACTGCAGCAGTACAGTACCGTGTACAAATATTGATGAGGTAATATACGTCCCACTCGAATAAACACATAGGAGCGCAGTGTATCGTGGAAAGTTTATGAAATTTTTTTTTTATACTGTACTCCACCTATATCTTGACTCTATGATAAATATTACGAAAGTTTCGTATCACTTGTCAATTAGGATTTCTATCGTAGTACGAGTTTCATGATCTTTTTCTTGCGCATGCGCGATGTAATAGTTTGGAAAAAAAAATTTGCTCAGGTCCTCGATAGCGGAGAATCTAATCAGACGATATCGCTAAGATCAGACAGATGGATGAACATTAGGAAACTGTAGTCCAGGAGGGTAGAAAAACAAGATCCGCCCATCTTCTTGCATCTTGTAGTCCGTAGTGGGAATGACGGATGGACCAAGATGAAATAACGTCTGCGATTATCTGCCGGTGATGTTTTCCTTGAAAAAAAATAATTTTTTTTTCACCTTTTATCGACAATTTCAATTTGTCCGTTTCCAGTTAATATATTGTGTGTTATACTGAACTTTATATCCAAGTCTCAACCGTATATCCTGTATACCTGTCTACCTGTAAAGTGAAAGTTTGCCCGGTCTCCTTTACTGGACTGTTGGGTAGGTCGGAAATGGCTGCTGGTCCGATATTTGTCCATTGTGCGTGCGCGAGACAAATTGTCCTGAAAAGGAGCCAGGGACCCTCTTAGGTACATCAGGATCTGACAAACTGGCCGTGGCGAGTTGGGAGCCTCTTTCGATGCCACATTATCGGACCACTGCGGACAGGCCAGGCCATCTATATTTTCCTGAGGGTCTTCGATTAAATTGTTTTCCCCTATCCGATCGGTCAAGGACCTCCTTTGGATAGGATCCTTTTTCATTCCGCTATTCTCTTATCCTTGGCTTCTCTGCCTAGAATCAATACGTTATATCTTACAGAGTAGAGAAAACAATTACAATTTTTTTTTTCAACGCCAAAATTTTATTTACGCGTCTTGACCGTTGGTTTAACCGATTTAAAGAAGTTTCCGAAATTTTATTAATTTGGATCTTAATATCCTTGAGGAATGATTTACAAATATTCTCCCTTGTGTATTAGCGCCTGTACCAAGTCTAAGGGGTAGTGGATAGCATTTTATCAGTGGGTACTAATCCAAGAAGGGATGTTAAGCTTGACGGGGGATGTACAGGATATAGAAGGACTAGGGCGATAAAGGAAAGGAATTCAGGCAAGATTGAACACTTAGCCCTAATTAGTCCAGATGACAATGACATTGTCACGACTGTCGTACGTACGGTCCAGTAGAAGTCGTGGACGGGGACGAGTAACTTTTTTACTGCGAATATATGATCCGTTATGGGTTCACCCTGCTACCGACCCTCTCGTATGCAGCTATGGCCAATTGTTGATTAAGCCCAACTGCAACTCCCTGATCGTAAAGAGGATTTTTGAGGATGTTATGCGTATAGGTAGAATCATCCCTTAAAAAAATTATTGGAGTAAGAAAAATCTTAGGGTAGTTGAAATGTGGGGGGGGGGGGATAAAAATAA